AGCAAAAATTAACCTATGAGAGTTGAGAGTGAACCGAAACAGTTAACAAAAACATTAGGTCCCCTCGACCGCCTTAGTCTTACAGCGTGTCCAGATTAAACTAACCGGCCATTTGTATAGACTAAGCTTTTTTCGTTTTACAAACTGCATATTCAGTGAACAGCCATAAAAGACAGACACAACTAACACATGTTCCCATCTTTTGCATTGTTGCAAGAAAGATGATTTATAAATTAAATTGATAATCAAAATGTTACATGATTGGCCTTTCAGTTTATTGTCAACTTCAGCTCTAATGAACAATTAAAAAAAGTACTTTTACAACCATTAGACCGAGTGATTGAGAGTTCAACTAGATGCTCTCCGTCAATTATCACTGTTTATTGGCTAAAACCTAAAATTGTACAAACGAGTTATCGCAAACTAGTGGATTCAATCTAAATTGGTTTGCTAACAGTAAGTGCACCTTCAAACATCCTATTAAGAAACTCTGAGAGCTTCTTAATAGCCAGAAAATCAGTGATTCACCAAAGGTCTTTTTGGTTTCCATTCAGTATTCAGACCCCATTTTAACGTTACGACATAAGGCTGTACTAAACAGCAGTAGACCTGTGTGAGCTCCAGGTGAGACGGTCCCTTGCCACTGCCTCGACCTCAAATAGCAGCGGGCCAGCTGCTGTGTGCATTGTGAATATCTGCTCCCTGACACAGGCCCAGTGTGCTTCCCAATGGCAAACACCCATTAAAAATAAAATTAGCACTGTTTTGTATGATCAAATAAAAAAACAGAGGTCATGGGCTGAAAGCATTAACACACGCCTCTGTAAAATTCAGAGAACATTGTGGTGCTGCTTGATGAGCCGGCTGCCTGGGGACTATTTGCCAGGACAACAACCTAACACACAACAAGCTACTGCAGTATGATACAGTTTATGAATATGTGTGTCCTTAACTGAGAGACAGGAACTGATTTTGGGAAAACAATTTGCAGATGTGCCAGCCGTATATTCCTTAAAGAAAACCCCATTCACCTTTACTCAGACAGAGAATGAAGCAGAGAGAAAAAGAGCTCTATTTTAGCTCAATGCTGAATCCCAGCAAAGCAGCAGGTAGGCTACACATTTATTCTATTTGGACAGCAAATAAAAAACACCCCCACAGACTGATCCAATTTCCTCAACTATGAGGATTACAAAATTCTCTGAGGTGCAATACCACACTGAGCGCTGGAATGGTACATGCAGTCTAACGGAGCATTTACTCTGGGAGGAGAGGATGACGGAGATTGAGGGTGATTTGAAAAGCACAAGTTATTTTGGCAACACAAGACTTGTCTGGTTCTGAACCGCGGTATGCAAGTGTTTGAAATTAGCGTCAAGGAACAAGAAACAGCTGCATAACTAAAGAGTCTGGGGTTTGAATTTCCATCCACGCGGGTTAAACGGTGGGTCCCTCTATTACTGTCCTCATCAGCTCCTCAGTGGCCGATGAAAAGACTGAAATGTGTGCAGGTGTGAAAATGATTGAAAGAGAGAAGAGCACAACTGGGACTTATAAAAGGCTAAATTAAATAAAAACATTATATAAAACGGGCTGCCTTATAGCCAGTTGGCATCATTGCATTTGTATTCAAGAGCAGTCTACTGTACAACCATGCTAGCAGCTCTGCAAGGTTTTACTAGGCAGGATGGAGTTAAACGCTCTCGTCAAATATACGATGCTAACAGTGATACTACTAAAATGCTGATGTTTAGCAAGTATAATGGTTACCATGTTTACCAGCATCGAATCATGCTAGCCTGCTAAAGTACATCTGAGGCTGATGGTAATTAGTTTGGAAGGTATAAACCAAAGTGTTGAAAACATTTAAAATGACATCCATATACTGATAGATCAAACTTGAAGACATCTCCAAGTTACTACAATTCATCTTAAAGGGGAAATGAATGTTTCAAGAGAATTGATTTGAAACCATAAATCTTATTATTATGATGGCATGAGGAGGAAGAAGGAAATTGAGGGGATCATACTAGCTAAAGTCATAAAGATACATCATCTGGAAACATTTCCATTTCGAAATGTTAACATATTGGTTAACATATTGACTTGATTTCAAGAGAAAGCTAATCATCTGGGGACTATGAATGTTTTTACCAAGTTTCCTAGAAATCCATCCGATAGTTGCTGGGATACTTCAGGGTGGACAAATCAAATGTTGACAATGCCATCCATACTAGCATGTTTAATTTTGACGATTAGAGCCTCACTCAGCACAGCCCTCATTATTTCTAAGCCCTTATTACTCAGCTCAAACATTTTTTTAAATGTGCATGATTAAAACTGGGGCTGTCGTGTTTTAAGGCAGCCAGTGAATCTGGGCATGATGCCATCTTTTCTGCAGTTCTAAGAAAAGACACTGCAAACAGTAAAGATTTGCTAGTCCATAAACATGGGTTGCCATTCTGTAATGATAACATAATATATACAACACTCACCTTTTGCCACTTTTTGTTTTTATTAAACAGTCCCCATTTGAGATAATTGTGCAGGTGTAGCTCCCAAGTGAATAAAGAGAGGACATTTAAATTAGAATTAAAAAGTGTATTATGTGTATTATCCCTTGCAGCCCTCTTATAATTGAAAGTGACAAAAATAAGATCTGTGTTCATAAGTGAAAGTCATGAAATTAAAGGGTCTGCCCTGTCCAAGTTGTTGTGACTTTGAAGAACAATGTTTCTATGAGACCCGTTATTCTTCACAAGTTGTAGAGTGAACTGAGGTCAAACGATAATCACTGCATTTCAGAGATATGAATGCTCTAGCAGTAAACCCAAACAATCTGCACACAACCTGCCAGCAGCCTGCTGAAGCATTGCACTGTTCACATAATTATATAGTGCTGGACTGAAATAGGGCCTTAAAGTGTAGTTTTCTAAAAGCCTGTTAAATTTCAAGGTGAAGCTCAATATAATTAGGATTGACCGCAGAAGAAGATATCCAATTGGTTGCAGCTGTTAAAAAAATATATTGTGTTTTGATGCTTTCAAATAATCTTATTTTCTTGTGAGATTGTCTATCAAAAATAGAAGTGTTGCACCTGACTTTTTTACAAAATAGTATTTTCATTTTTACAACGACTCACTTACAGAATGAAAATTATCTCCAGCAACTTGTTTGTATGTATTCCCTTTCATATTTGTATAATGAGTAAGGCATTTTACCAACCCTAATATTGGCTCGTATCTCATGTTGAATTTGCTGTGCTGTCAGCCCTTGTTAAGTTGTAATAGTTTCTTAGAAGAAAGGCACTGCACTCCAATATAGTTGGCTTCATAATGTTTCCTTTCCAGATATGCAGTAGTACTCCTCAAAAATTTGTAAAATCATGTAGAAACCCAAAATATTCCAACCACTATTCATGGTGCATCCATAAAAAACATACTTTTTTTTTGCTTGAAATAGTTCACTCGCTGAATTGCATATTTATAGAGTATAGCGGCAATGAAAAGTGGGAATGATACAGAAAAAATATTCATTCTATGTTTGAGGAACTTAGGTGGGGATTTGATGGGTTATTACAACACCTGATCTCAGCCTATAACACTTTGTTTTAATCAACTTCTTGTTGAAAAGGTCAATGTAATATTCTTGACTTGAGAGACTTTCCACTGTCATTGCACCCCAATATCTAGCAAGGGTATTATTTTAAATCCAATGCAGCAATACTTTAAAGCCCAAACCACACTAAATAAAATCCCCTCTCTATCGTGACACTTATTGTCACTACCGAGAAAATAATTATCCGATATTTTATTGATCCCTGCAGGAAAATTATCTTTCCACTCTCGCTTTGTGTAAAAGGTCAGAGCACAAACGCCACATACAGAAGAGCAAGCCTGGAGCTGGAAGGGATTCAGTGATTTGCTCAAAAAGACATGCATGATGACACAAGGAAAATAAACCTGGACCTCCAGCTGAAAATAAAAGCCTAATAGTCACAATGCCTACCTGCTGACCCAGCATTACTAACATTACCTTGACACTAGCCTTGTAAGTAACTACATTAATCTGAATAAATATTAACACAAATCAGCAAACACACATAAAAAGACATAGCTTTCGTAAGTCTTATACTGTTCAATGTCTGAAATGTGCCATAACATGTTTATACAAAGAGGCAATCTAATAAATAAAGTGCAACCCTCTATAGCATTGCAATGTATGACAGATCATCACAATTACTATAATGCTATTTCTGAGCAGCATAACAATCTTTTTAATGTGCATTAATAAACCTTTAATGACAGAACTGTCCCGATTAGCTGATGCTGTCCTTTCTACAACGTCCTATACCTTATATCCAAACAACAATTAAATGAGCAGCATAAAAAACTGCCAGCTATTATTAACAATGCACCAAACTGCTCTGTATTATTATGATTAGGTTTTACATCTCCTGGATTCACTTTCTCCTGTCTTGTTTTCTGATTTAATGTCTGGTGCTAACATAGTGCTGCTGCCTCTGTTTACATGATTATGTGACCTGATTGGGAATATCAGAAACACTTTTTTGTTTTTAATTAGCCTTCATGCTCACATCCTGAATTGTAATAGCTGATGCTAAAAATAGAAACTAGAGTCATACCATATACCACACCATATGCATAGTACAGGGGATCATAATAGCTGCAATAGCGGGTGACCACAAGTCTGTCTGCAGGTCACCTCACCTTTTACATTAAGTATTTTTTTAGCCTATTTGACCTTAGAGCGTCGACGGGTCAAATATTTCGGTGTGACACTGGCATGGACAAACAGAACCAGACAGACTTAGTAACAGACAGACAGGTATAAGGACAGACAGATGAAAAGACAGTCCTGGACAGGCAGAGGTCTGTTTTTAGACCGTCGTACATTCCTACAGATTGCCTCCCATCCATGCAGCACGCGGATGAGCGCGTCTACCTGTTAGCACGAGACTATGCATAGTGTCCCCTTACCTCTTCCTCGCGCCTCCTTTGACATAGTGTCCTCTGCCGTGTGTCTCCGTCTATGGTCACTCAGCAAAGCCGTCACGTTATTTTGTGCGACAACGTGAGGTCGGATGGTTAATTAAACAGCGGCTCTTCTTCCGTCCCTCTCCCGCCTGCTGCACCTTGAAGCCTGGCAGACGGGGTGAAGCACTGCCGTGTCTGTCTCCTCTCACTGAGCAGAGTGGGAGTAGAATATTACCCCAAAAAATAAGCTATGTTCTCATTCACCTGTGCCAAGTCCGTCAGAGCACGCTGCCGCAGACATAGTTTGGAATGTTGTCTCTGTGCGGAGTTGGTTCATAATGTCTCTCTGCGCCGTTAACATCAGTCAGAGTTCGTCCAAACAAGACCAGGACTGCAGCGCGACTGCCTCCAGCGGTGCGCGTGCGTCCGCGGATGCTGCTCTGAAGGGCGTCCTTCTTCTTCCCTATCACCGGTTCTGATTTAGCAAAATTATTAAGAAGTATATCCAACATAAAGAAAGAAAAAAATAGTAACTTCATGCATTAAAACCATAGGGCAAAGCCTAATGTGAAAGCTGTATTGTCATTGGCACGACTCATTTAATTAGCCCAAATAGCCACGTTTAATCCATTCCATTGGATATATCATAGCAGAATCTGCATAGAAATATTACAGGAATCAAACACAATGTTAAATATCAAGTAGGTAAACGTCATAATGCCACACAAGGAGCACATGTTGTATATGTTCCCCGGGTGTGGCTGTTACATAAAAGTAGATGAGGATGACAAAATTACAACAGAAGCATAACTTTGTAGACAAATAACAGGAATTGGACCCATTATAAAGTGTTTAAATTAGTTGTGAGTCTCATAGTGTGTTGTATTGCTATAGGTTATGAAGAATGGAGATGAAAGACACCAAATTGCAGCAGACTTTTACATCTTCGCTGAAATATTACAAGAATTACACTGAACATAAACATTAAAGTATAGGTAAATGCTTTTGAGTGTATACACAAACACTTTATTTTCCCTCTGTTGGGTGTGGCTGTCACATTCAACTCAAAGAGGGTGAAAATAAAATGAGGTTTAAGGATGAAGAGCAAAGGACACTAAATCACTGGAAACTAGGGATTAAGGGATGAAACTACAACAGTCCTGTCAGCCATCCATCACCGAAGCAGCAGGTGCCATCTTGGTCACGCAGAGGCCGTCACCCAGACAGAGGAGAACATCAAAATAAAGCCCTTTGCCCATGACTAAGTCTGGTTTCTTCCGTTGTCTTTTGCTTTCTAGGAATAGCGGGAACATTCAGCATATGAATCATGTTCCCTCAGCTTTAAATCCTTTAAATCCAGTTGTGAGATCGGCTCTAATCCGACAGATGCTTTACCTAATGGGTGCCTCTAATTCATTATTTATCTTATCTTGATATTTGACATGAATTGCTGAAAATAGGTTTCTCACTGAGCGCTCAGGGCATGCGGTACACTCCTGCACTGTCATGACGTAAAAGCTGCTGTGTCCATCCCTCTTCTCCTTATACGACCAACACACACCCAAGACAATGGACTGGTTGCCACGTCATGTAACACAATTGAATATTGATGGATGATAATGCCTACGGCTGAACCATTGCCCTGGAATCTGAGAGCCGGACACACTACATTACCAAACTCTACTAGGAACACATGCAGCCAATTTGTATTCATCAAGAGAGCCAATGACAATACTTCTGGCCCTGAACACTGAGATGAGATCCCCACTAAGAAAAACCAATAAGAAAAAGCCTCCTGGCCAGAGAGACAGCAAGACATATAGCACCGATTACACCAAATGGCTGCACTAACTGGATCCTACTGAAAAAAACTAAAGGCTAATTGAATTAATGAGATTTCTTTCGTGAAAAGAATTCTCACCATGCCATTGAGCACATCATTCCCATTCTACAGCACAACCTCAGCAGCAGAGAACGGCAAATAAAAGAAAAATATTTTAGACTTATAAAAATAACACATTTTATTGAGATGATTTTGTGCCAACATCCAGGCAGCTTAAATGAATGGTAATGTTTAAAAACAAAGAACAACCACACAGGGTGAAGGATGTTTATGATGGCAGATAACCACTGCAGGGCTTTTGGAAAACGAAGGCAGGACCAGTTTTGGCAACTAAAGTCTTTTTGGGAGTCATAAAGAGTGACAAAATACAATATGTTGCAGCAGCAGACCTGAATTAAGCACCCGAGTTGCAGATTCATTGTTCTTTCAAAGCACAGTCGCCAACACATCTCTATGATTTTGGCACTTTAAAGATATGATGATTTATTTTTAAATGGTCTAGACTGACATCTGCTTTCACTCATAATAATTTCCATCTCACAATTTATCAATGTGAATTTAGACTGTGGGGAATCTGCTTCCTTACTCGTTTCATTACTTGATGATTATACCAAGACCATTAACTTTCCCTCATAATTAATGCTGTGACAAAATGACTGATGCACACATTCAAAAACTGCCCAGCAGTTGCATGTGTTTTATGGAATCTTAGACAGTCTATGAAGCCTCAACATCATTTAAGTAAAGAGGAACTTTTTGTAGGGGTTGAATGCAAACAATGGAAGTATTTGCACAACAAATTGCTCAGTGATTAGTCAGGTTAGCAGAAAGCATCCCTTCACCACTTCAGCTCCAAGATAATATCCTTGAGAACAGCAAACATGAGTAATAAGTCATATGATTCATATCCATCTAGTTTGAGGACAGCAATTCAGCTGCAGGTGACACAGAGCAGCCTTGATTCACCTGTATAGCAAAGTGCTCGCTCTAAATGCATGATGAATATATTCAAGTCATCTGTGTGCTCACCGATCCTGAGATGACATCTGATGAGCAGTCAGAGCTGGCTGGAGGCAAGGTTAAACCTCTCTGACCATTCAAAATTATAATAATGTGCAAACCAGTGCTAATGATGGTCCATGCACAGGATCATCTGTTTGTGAATGTTCATGCTTATGCAACAGATGTTCACTGTACATAAAGAAATACATATTTTAAAGAGAAATAAGCAGGTATGGGATTCTCTCACCGTCTCCCAGTCAAAGTCTAAGTGATGGCTGCAGATACAAACATGTATTATCTTTTGAATGTCTCTTGGCAGAGGCATTGGAATCTTCTGAACCATAACAATGAAACATCATTAGAAATTAGCCCCTCTGAAATGAACAGATTCATTTAATGCCTTTAGTTTCACCATTAGCCAAAGGAATATAAAGCATTAGTTCTGTACGGCAGTGGGAAGACCTCACTTTGAGCCTACCAATTTCTATCTGTCCTGGATCGAAAAGAGGAAAGCGAGCTTGCGCCTGTGAAAGCCTGCACGTATTCAGACGCCCACGCAGAATCCACCCCGAGAGGAAAGAGAGGCAGCTGATTGAATGTGAGCTAATGCATTCAGTCACTGTATGTCCCCTGTCAGAGGCTGGTCCCCACGGGCCAACACAACATTTGAATGTGTCTTTTTCTGTCTGGATGGCTTTCATGTTGCTCTCCAGGGACATCTTCTAACACTACGAAGCTCACCCTTGTTTATTTTTCATTCAACATGAACAACTATGCAGGATTCAGTAGCTTGGGAGCAACAATTTATAAACTGATGGCCATTTGTTTTGTCTCTGTGGGAAAAAATAAATCAAGAAAAGACTGAAAATCTCCTTATTTAGGGGTGTTAAACTAAATGTTCAAACATGTTAATATTTATTTTCCAAGAATAACACATTTACTAGCGAGGAGAAATTACATATTTTGCTGCTTTTAGACACTTGTCAAGACATTAAAGCAAACAAAACCAATCAGGTTACAAAGGTTCAAACACGATTGTTGGCTTCCTGGTCATTTTGTTGGAGACGACTCAAATACATTTATTTCCATATTCCAACATGGAAATAGAATATGTGAGATATCCTCAGGGAGATTTAAACCAAGTGCAAGGGAAGAGCTTTAATCTTATAATCCTCTGTAATGTCATAATGGTCTCTCTAAGCTTATCTAAAGTAAAGTAACTTTCCCTGTGGAATTCAATCGCAGATACAGAAGGACCATGAAGAGTTATGTGACTAACGCTCCCTGTGCAATACCACACTCCCGCAGCTTCATTAAAACGTGCCAAATGAAATAGAGATCTAAAGATTGACACAATAAGTACATACGAGAAAGAGTTTAATTCCAAAATGTATATATAGAGAAACATGACTAATTATCACATTCCTTGTCGACAAAGTGAAACTAGATCTTTGATATTTACATCGTTTTCGCTGAAAATAAATACATATTATAGCCATTTGTAAAAAACTGCTATATCCATGATGCTCCATAATACATCCTATTGGCTGACCAAAGCTGCAGCTGAAGCAGGAGGCGACTGGATTGGCTGAAGGAACTCTGAGGTAAACACAGCCTCTGCGTACTCCTCCACAACATCCTGAAACTCTGCTGCCACATCGGCCAGAGCCTCGGACAGCAGCTCCTCCGCCAGGCTGTGGAACGAGGAAGAAAAGAAGCAAGATATTCTCCTTGAAACCAAGATGCAAAGAAAGCTCCCATTCAGTTAAAAAGACATTTACAAACTTTTAATTGAATGTCAAAGTCAAAATCTAACATCTGACAATTCTTGTTCTGCATCACAATAAATGAAACAAAGAGAGAATATATGACAAATGACAACTGTAAAAATAATCTAGACCAATTATTCTTTGATTTGAGACTAGGGCTTTTTAAAATAGCTTAATCATTTGTTTTTATTAATTTCTATACATAAGATGGATACATTACTTAAATGTGAACTGAGAAAATGTCAGCCTCAAGTTGTTCAAACTGCAAAAAGGCGCAATCAAAGCTGTTTTTCAGTTTGCTGACTGCATATGAAAAAAAGGAAAGAAAATACGTCAAAAGAGCGGTGCTAAACTACAGCGTGGTGATCATGATCTGGGCCTCACAAACACACTGAAGCAGGCCAGTGCGACTGGCGTAAAAAAACTGAATTATTAGGTTGTCGGTGCAACAAAACAATGAGTAATTGTGTGATGTTGAACTACCTGTAGCTTAGAAGAGCAAAACAAGATTGCTTTGCTCTCAACACTTTATACAGCGTACATTAGAATGGAACTAATCAGGAACAGCTATTAGGAAACATTTTATAACACTAACATGCTAAAAGCTATCTAGCTATATATACTGATTGACTTTTCATTATTCTGAATGTTTACTGCTTCAAATATGATGCAATTCTCAGTTCATTTGTATAAGTAATTATAGAGCACAAGCTTCTCATTAATATGAAAACAAAAGGAATATCTTCTCTTTTTGAGACTAATGTATTATTAGGCATGGTCCTAAATAAAGATGTAATAGTAATAATGCA